AGTTTTTCATTGGCTCCTCTGTTTGGATTTACACTCAGCAAAGGCTCCGGATCTACTACCTTCAGTCTCCAAGTCAGCACTTTTGCTCCTCATTTTACCACTTTTGAGGAAGATCAGGCTAAAAGGGAGGCGCAAGGTAAGACTAAAAAGAAAATCAGTCGCCTGATGAAGGTACGAAACAAAAATGAAAAAGCAACAACTGCTCTTGGTAATTTACTTTGAACTAAGTGAGGTCAAGCAGACATATAAATATCACCTTTTGTTACAAATTCAGAGTTGGGCATTATTAACATTAGATTGCAATCACCTGTTCTCTTGATGATAAATATTATGTCAATATACAACCTACCAGGAATGTTTTTTAGTATGAAAACAAAATTCCGGAGGGAAAATAGAACATAATGCAATTTCATTTTGGGGGAACATTTTAGGTTAATTTTTCATAACAATTTAGAAAATTACTTGTTAAGATTTGAAATAATGTTTTAGAATACCATTTTGTAGTTCATGTTTATTGGAAATAATGTACTGAATACCTATGAGAACAAGCAGTTTGGTTTTTGAAAATTACAAGGTTAGATTCAGATTTATTTCTTTGTACAACAGATATTTACTTTGTGTCCATTATGTACCAAACAATGTGTTGGATGCAAACAGATTAAAATCCAACTGAGTTGTCCAACCTTGTTTAAATAAATTAAAATGGTTTTGTCACATAGATTTTTTTATTATGTGTAAATTTCTGCTTCTGCTTGCTTATTTCATTTTTTTCTGGAAAGAGTTTAATGTATACTAAAATAGGACTTCATTCTTTTTTTGGAAAATTTTATCTGATAAGCAGTGTTACACTTCTTTTCTATTTGTGATAAAAAATGAATTTTGCAAATAAAATTTCTCTAATGGAATAGAATATGATTGTTTTTATTTTCTTTGGAGCTATGAGAGCATACTTTCATACATTTCTAATTTGCAAGAAGGAATAGTAGATTATTAGTGTAAACTGGAGTAATTCTCTCTCTCTCTCTCTCTCTCTCTCTCTCTGTCCCCCAAAATGTATACACACTTTGATTAATTATAAAGGCAGTGTTTATTAAAATACATTTCAAAAAGTAATAGAATCTACAAAGTATGTATACATTTTTTGGGGACACCATACATGTATATGTACATATATATTGTATGGAAACTGTCAGAACATTCTAGGCAAGTTAGGGCTCCAAAATGTAAAAGAATTAATGCTCCTTAAGAAAATATGGTTGGTGCCTCAGATGGAGGTGCCCTGAAGGGGGCCCATCCCAAAAGAATCCCTAAGTCCTCTCTCTGGCCATTCTCTGCTCTGTTCTCCAGGAACTCAGATTCTCTCTCGGGATAGGAGATGGATGACCAGGATTGGGTCCACGCAATTCTGTTGTTTCTCTCTCTTTCATGCCTCCCTCTGTGGCCAGAACATTCATATGGTAACCCGCAGAAGGGCTGGTTATTAGATGGGGATGTACAAGTGAGCTGGATTCGAAGGGCTCTTCAGATTGGGAGTGAGGGGCAAGTTTGCGGCATTGAAAGAGAGTGAAGTTATCAGCATCTGACAGATAGATGCTCACTCACTAAAAACAGCGTCTTTTTGTGGGTTGGGTGGCTGAGTGAGAGGATTTAGAGTCCAATCAGGAAACTGAAGGGAAGCAGGACTTCTTATTTTGGACAATTCTTTAGATTTTAAAAGGCAGGCAAGACTGTATACTTCTAAATTTCCAATATTCTTATACACCAAGTGTAGGAATGTAAGAAAAGGAAATTCAGTCAGAAGAGTCCCATCTCTGGACCGTTTTCTTTAGTCTATGCAGAGTGAAGAAGGGTTCTGGGACACTAGGTAGTATATCCTGTTAATTGTATACCTATTTTTTCTTTAGACACTGTTTAGAAATTTAATAAACATTATTTTATGAAGCTGGACATATGCCATGGAGGCAGGGAAAATAAGCTGACCTGGTCTTGTGTGTAGAGTCTGCTCATTTTGTAGTTTGATCCATTTATGGGAAGCCAAACATTTCTGGTCCACATGACTATCTCTGATTTGTCATTTAACTTATTATTTAATTGGAAGCCTGTGGGGTTTAGACAGAGAAATGATTTCCTGGTAAGTACATAGATCTAGGTGGAGTTACTGCTGTTACTTAAAAACATTGCGTAGAACTTCTGGTGATCAAGAAAGATATACCCTCTCTTCGCCAAATTGTTCTTCCAAAAACCAGCATCCGCTCCTGCCTCCCCAAACCACGGTGCATAGAACTATAATAGCCGATCCCAACTGCTTCAGAGCCAGAGAGCTCCAGTGACTATTTTAGTTCGGTTTGTTAGTGTGTTCCCACATTGGTAACGTTTGCAAATATTTTTGCTTTGACAGTAATTGCATACTTCAGTTGTGAAGGGGCTTGACTAGCAATGCTGACGGCATTAGCAGGTCCACACGGCGAGTCTCCCAGCAGATGCACCTATTACTGTGCATACTGTTTACCCGCTTTTGGTGACATCGAGGCTGACCTTGGAGTCACCTCCCCCGCTGCCACATTCTCCTTTGTCGTACCACCATTTGTTTTTCAATTTGTCCAAGAGGCCTTGTTCATTCAGTTTTAAAACTGCGA